TAGAGAGAGAGAGAGAGAGAGAGAGAGAGAGAGAGATAGAGTCAAATTTATGTCTCCAAATGCCCTTTGGCGTAGGTTCATCCACTGGAGCTCATCAACCTATCAGGAGTCTCAGCCTTAAAAAGACTGAATCTCCCCTTCCCAGCAGCCATTGGTTGCCAATACTTTCTGTAGTAGGGTTGGGGTTTCTTACCCGCTTTCCCATGTCTATGCTAGAATTTTGTCTGGCTTGAGCTTGCATGCTGTCACCATTGCTGTGATTTCATTTGAGTAACTGACTGGCTGTCTAGAAGACTCTGTTTCCTGTGGTCATCTACCACCACTGGCTCTTACAATCTTTCTGCCTCTTCTTCCACAATGATCCTTGAGCCTTGAGTAGCAGAGATTTGATATAGGTGAAGGACTTCTTTTTTGATAAAGAGGGAAGAGGGAAGGAAAGCTGTAGTAAGCAGGCAGCAGTGAGGAGCGAGACCCAGAGGAGCAGCACAGAGATGGAGAGGAAGATGTAGGTCCATCTGGCCCGAGACTTGGGTCCTGGTCATCCCTGGTGACCCTTTCTTGTGTGTCTTACTTTTCGATCCCTATAGTAAGAGGAGATAGGAGTAGACAGCATTTCACTCTATTTGGAGCTCAACCAATGTTTTCTTTGGGGACTTGTGAGGGGCTGGAATGGTCCTGCCTCATGGAACTTCTCAGCTCTTGAGCTCCAGTGGGAAGGAAATGTAGAGTGGCTGTGTCAGTCAGCAGAGGACTGGAGATTCTGTAGTAACAAACAGCCCCATTTGCATGGCTTCTCCCAAGGTGCCTGTCCACTGAGGGTGAGTGTGGCTTCATCTAGAAGCTTCTCTCATGCTACCGCCATGGGAAGAGGAGTCTCATGTGCCCAGAGCTCTAGCCAGGAGCTAACATGTTCTTTTTTCTCATGTTTCATTGTCTAAAACAAACTGAGGTTCATGCCCAGCTCCAGAGGGGGTGGGGATGCTGAGCATGGGAGATGGAAGACTAGAAATCAAGCAGGACAGACTACTCTCTACTGTAGAGTTTGCAGTGTGGAGTCTAGAGTCAGATGGTCTGTTTGTGAGTTTTGTGTGTATAACTGAGTTCCTTGGTGAAGCTGTTGTGCCTCTCCAAGATCCAAAAGCCTCATCTATGAAACAGGTACCATAACAGGACCATCTTCACATTGCTGGCATTTCAGTTGGTGAGAGGCAAGGTCCAGAGTTCAATGCTTGCCAAATACTGTGCTGGCCATTGTGCCTGTAATTATGTGCTGTGGGAACAGGACACAGAATGGTTTTATTAATCCCCCCCACCACCGCCAAGAGGATCCTATCCCCTTCCCCTTTGTTCCCCAGGAACCTCTGAAGCTCGCCCTGCCCCACTGTTGGGACTCAGGAGTCTTGCCTCTGACATCTACTTGCTGTGTGACCTCGGGAGAGTAATTTCCCCTCTCTGGCCTTCCATTTCCTTATCAATGCGGGATTCTAAACCATGGTGATATGATGATGATGGTGGTGGTGGTGGTGGTGGTGGTGGTGGTGGTAGTGGTGTTGATCATGATGGGAATGATGGGGATAGTGATGGGATGGGATGACAGCACTTACTAGGTGCTGGGTTCTATTGGTTAATCTCCCCAAGTACCCCTTGTTGAGTGCTGCTTTATCACTCGTTGGATAGGCTGCAGCATGTAGGAGTGTGCTGGAGCGTGTTCCCTGCTGCCCTTCCATGCTACTCTGTGCTTCCCTGTCCCCCAAAGACATTAAGACTAGCCGTCTCTCTTCTCTTCACTCTCAAGTGCTAAAAGCTCTAAAGAGCTGGTAAACTTAGACTTCTGTTCAGAGTTGGCTCCTCCCATTCTCAGCTTCTGCATGGCTATTGC